TCCCTCCTTCATCCTGGGCTGTAGTTGTATTTTATTTTTCATATGAATGTATGGGGGATTATATATTGGCTTCATAATAGTACTGCAAAGATATTTGCACCAGAATGTTTATTGCAGCCCAATTCATAATTTCCAAGTCAAGGAAGCAGTCCAAATGCCCATGGACCCATGAATGGATTAACAAATTGTGGTCTATGTATAGTATGGAATATTATGCAGCCTTAAAAATGATGGAGACTTTACCTCTTTTATGTTTACCTGGATGGAGCTGGAACATATTCTTCTTAGTAAAGTATCTCAAGAATGGAAGAAAAAGTATCCAGTGTACTCAGTACTATTATGAGACATGATTTTTCAATGCTATTTGGAGCATTCATTCTCCATCTAATCAATCTATATAGCCTGAAACATTATTCAAGTGCTTTCTATAATACATAGAAGACTAGTAAAATCATAGTGAATATAACTAACACAGGAGAATTTGAGATGAACTGGCCTGGGTAAATGAAATGTAGGGTGGAGTAGGTAGGTGGGATCTTTGCTATTTTTCATGAGTATACAGGAGTAAATAGCTGAGAAAATGTTAAATGAAGAATCTCAGTTCACTTCTGAAAATGTATCTGTTCTGTATCTTGTGTACACAGAGTGGAGGGAAAGATAGAAACAACAGAGGAACAAACTCCACGCTCACCTGTGTTACAACTTTCCTACTATCAATTTTCTTTTTAATCTGCGTTATTGAATAGAACCAAAAAGGGGAAATGAGTATATTAAGATGTTACAGAAAAGTAGCAAAAATGTACAGCCAAGAGTTTAGATAATCAAGGTACAAATTCTTTCTAAAAGAGAGCAAAACTAAGAAGGAATCTCTTTAGAAATATTTTGCTACATTACCAAAATGTAAGATGTTAAATAAAACACAGATTAACTCTATTATTTATTTGCACATTAACTAGAATGGAGATGTAATTTGGAAGAAGATAAATGTCAGGACAATATGTTCACTATTGAACGCTTTCTAAAGATTTAATTTTAGTAACAAACGAACTTATGCTTTTTTCTGTTATTTTCAATTTACATATGCATCTCTTATTTATTAGCTAATTAATGTCATTTAAAGACAATTTGAACACTGAAGCTGCTTTCCTTCCCTGACTCCTGTTTCTTTCATTCTTTCTTTTATTGTAGTTCAGATCAAATTTTTTTGGGCCAACAGAGAGTCCTCTATGAGATATTTTAATTTCTTATTGCTTTAAACCTTAATGATTTGCATGTATAAATAGCTACTCTTTCTAAATGCCAAATCGTGGCAGTTAAGTAGGAAATACTGAACAAATATTAATGTTAACACAGTATTTTGTGATTCCATCAATTATATATGAATTATACTTTACCCTCTACCCTCACATACACACTTTTTTTTTAATTTGAACTATTATTTTTCCATACAGCAATTCAATACCATAGGACCAAACTGCTTTCTCAAAGAAAAAAAACAACATCATGCTGACATATTCTAATCTATCTCTGTGATTTTCACCTCAATAAGAGTTGATTATTAATGTAGTCTTTGTCATTGTCACATATAGAAAATGAATGTTCAGTTATTTTTGTCCTTTCTCCGTTTTGTGCACAGATCTTCTTGACGGCAGATATGTTGATTCTACTGAGAATCACAAAAAGTTTGACTCGCACAATGTTCTTCTATAAATTAAACCAGACAAATAAAAAGTTATCTTTCAAAGACATCTGTGTAAAAAAAAGGAAGATGAACTGGAGTTTCTGTTAAAAAAAAAAGAACGCCTTTTCCATCTACTCATTTGCACTGTTGTCTTACCTTCTATGTAAATTTCTAGGCATTCACGACTCACAGTGAAAAGTCTGCCTTACATTTTCTTAAATTTCAGTTTTAAATAACTCTATCATAGTAGCAATGTTTAACTTTATGATTAATATTTTATAGGGGAATAAATATTGCTGTGATAGATTTTATAGGCTAAGCTGTGTTTTATATCACAAGGTCCAAAGTGAAAACACTTTACATATACAATCCTTCCACTATTTTTTTTTTTTTTTTTTTTTTTGCTGTTTTTGGCCAGGGCTGGGTTTGAACCTGCCACCTCCAGCATATGGTGCCAGTGCCCTACTGCTTTGAGCCACAGGCGCTGCCCTTCTTCCACTATTTTTTTTTCACTGTGATCTTTGGCACTCCTTTCTTCCTATCATTCATTCAACTTGGCTTCCACAATTGCACAGAATTTTTGTTTTGGACATACTTATAACTGTTTCCATCATTGTGATGATATATGTTTACTCTTCTCACACCGAAACCAATGTCTCCTCCTCCTCCAGTCTAAAATGCTAAATCTTCCTCCACTTCAGCCAGTCTTCTTGGTTATTCATGATGGTGATGCTTTTAAACCATAGGGAAATCATCAACTTATGCTCTACAAATTCTAGACCTCTTCCATTATCCTTCTCCAAGACTGCTTTCCACAATAATCCCTCATATCCGTGGAAATTCCCACATCACCTATACTGCACATGTGCACCTGCATGGAGCCGTGATATACTGTCTCTGGAAACAACTATTAGGATACTGGTGTCATTATTCTCCGAATTTCAGAGTTGGCAGTTTGCTCTAATGTTGATGCTGATAATTAATCCCTCTTCTCTACGCACTACTCATTTTATCTCTGGAGATTGTTCTGCATGCTTAAAGGGGTATTTAGTATCATTATCAGTTGGTTTTAATTAATTTCTTATACTTGAATCATGCTATGCTAGATGCTAGGAAATTCACTTAAATAGCTTCCTTCTGGGTAGATGACCAGTAATAGGATTGCAGGATCAAATGGGAGGCCTAGCTTGAGTTCTCTGAGGGTTCTCCTCCTTTCCTTCCAAATAGGTTATATTACTGCAGCAGTGTAAAAATGTTCCTTTCTCTGGACTTCATTATTTTCTGTTATCAAATTTGGAATTTATAGTTAAATAGGTAATCACTAATTATTTTAAACAGTTTTACTTTGCTTTGTACATAAGTATTAGAAAATTCAAATCAAGATGCAGATGATCTGGGTTCTCTCCAAATAACAAGTTATACGAGTTTCCATAATGAGAGACCCATTGATGAAATAAAAAGAATGAAAAAGGAAGATAAGTGACATTGATTCAGATGCCATGAACTTAAGTTATCTTGTTTTAGGAACAAATTCTCTAGTTTATAATCAAAGCTCTACCAGTTTCAGTAATTTTCCCAGAGGTCACAAAACAAATAAATGCTGATATTGGGAGACAACCTGCATTTGGGCTCTACAGGGTGCTTGTTCTCAATCTGCCTCAAGAAGAACAGAAGCTAGTTAATAAAATTAATCTAATATAATTAAAAGTATTTAAGAATTATAATATTTTCAATAACTATAAAACTAAGAATAATTAGAAAGCAATGAACTTATAATTATCAGATGGATGATTTTCTCTATAAGAAATAAGAAAATTCACATTGTGATCCCTCTGGTTCTTCTCCAATCCCTTCTTCTAACTCTCGGCTTTTCCCCCAGTTCATTCTACTGTGGTCTCACTGCACTGATCTTACTAGTATCCTTGTTGTTCCTGGAAAGAAAAACACTAAGAAGCTCCTACTTCAGAGCCTCGGTCCTATGCCCTTCCCTCCATACTACACGCACACACGCTCACTCTCCTTAACCTCCATTTCCACCTCTTTAGTCCCCTTCCCTGCTTTATTTTTCTTACCTAGTACTTATCAATACGTGCCATGTTACATGTTGTATTTATTTATTTATTTTTTGTGTCATCCCTTCTAGAATGGAGATTGTAGAGGTGATTTTGACACCAGGAAACAAACACAATTTGTTTTACTGTGGCTCTTTATGATCATTTTTGTGATTCCAGTCCCCAAAACAATAACTGCTATGTAATAGTCACTCAATAAATTTTTGTTGAATAAATAAATGAGAAGAAAATACAATGAGACATATTAGATAGACAGTACTTAGAATTCATTATTTTAGGATTTATGTAATTGTAATGTAAAGCACAAATTTTAAGTTCAACCTATAATTCATTACAGATAGAAAAAGCAAATAAGAATCTTCTTTAACTGGAAAGTCCAATAATGCAATTCAAAAAATATTTATCTCTCTGATACTCTTTCCTGTTTTATATTATATATGTTAATGCATGCACTTACCTTTTGTCAATATTTGTAAATTGTCTACTATAGCCCTACAACCTTGATAAAGACTAAAAATGCCATGATTGCATTTTGTGGCAAGTGTATCTTGTGGCTAGTCAAACAAGCCCTCAATGAAACAATTCCAGTTAGCACTGCCTCTGGTCTATTGGAATCATACAATTAATGTTATATTATTAATTGTAAATAGAGATCATGAAGATGACATAACGAATATTCCTGTATTCATATAGCATTAGTGTATGTCCTATAGAAGGTAATAACTGTTATAATTTTAAAAGCTTAGCTGGAAAGCCACGTTCACATATGGCTTATTACCTATGTAACATAGGTAACCAAGCTATAACAATGTAACAAATTTCATTAAGGCCCTTCTCAGTTTCCAAATTCTCATTGACTTTGTCCAAATTACCACTCTTCCTCTTCCACTCCCACACATCTCACCCTGGTGGTTTGGAACACAAGTAGTAATATTATTCTTTTGCGATCTCCTTAATTTTCTTCATTGTCAAGAATGAAACTCAAGCAAAAATTATGTTCCTTTGAACGTGATTAATACCACTAGTTTTATTTTATTTTGCTGTAGATTTTGCGGCACCTTTGTTATTCTTTCAGTTCATTTTGAAGGGATATTAGATGCAGATAAAGAGACTTGCTGCTGAGATGAAGAAGTTAGAAGTAGTGTTTACTTACAGTGTATTTCGAGCACCTGCATGGCTACCTGAGGGGTGGCATTGAGGGATTCATGGTCTACTCTGCAGATTACAGCCACTCCATCGTCACTCCGGTCCACTCGGAAATCCAGTGTGCTGCTGACGGTGAATGTCTTGCGATTTGCATCCTCTTCTTTTAAATATTTTACATCTGAAAATGAGAGTTTAAAAATTGTAGCGTCTTTAATACTATAAATGTAATAACATAAATTTCATTTACATGAGACAGTGGAAATACCTTCTTTCTATCTTTATCAGTTTTTACAAAGCAAATATTTGTTAGTTTAATCCATTTCAATTTGATCAAATAGAATATAACTACTTCCAAACTAAATTGTAAGGGTTAAATGGAAATAAAATAAAAGACTGAGTCATCCACATGAATGTGGCCATGCATTCATGTGTTTTATCCCTCTGGTCAAAGCATTTTTAGTTCTTTTTTTCTCAGGCTTACCTAAATCGTAATCATGTGCAAGACACTTTTATAGACTGTGTTTTAAAAGTTCCATTTTACAAAAGTAGTCTTTTCTTCCTTCTAGGTTGAAGTTGACTAAAAGATAATCTTAATTACCTGAGCCATTAACATAGTTAAGAAGAGCAAATTCACCACTATCTGGTTCTGCCTAAAAAAAGAGTACAAGGTATTGGAGCTAAGATTTTAACATGAGCAATGAGAATGTAAATTGCTAAAAATATGTGCAATGAGAAGTTGTCACCTTTGGTAAAGAAAAGAAATAGCATAGTCACCTGAATATTTTAAATTCTTAAATATAAATTTGCAGAGAAATCCCCATTGAGATAAATGCTCTTCCCTCAGCTGAGTCTGAATGCGAATACTTTCTTCAAGATGGGAACTCCCTCCTCGATATTTAAATTACTGTGCGTGATTCAGATCCATCATGAAATGATATATATACCTAGGGATTATTTGTAGTTTGTGGAAAAGTGGTTTAATGATATCGTCATTTAATTTTTATTCTCTTAAGTCTAAAGAAGCTGACAAGAAGAGGACAATTTTAACAGATTAGAAATCAAAATGATAGGTTAAGGTTAAGATATTATAAGAACATCTTAAACATAGCTGAGTGAAAAATGAGTTTAGCTTTCTTATGCTTTCTCAAATGTTTTTCCATCATTCAGTCTCAAATGGACAATATTTTTAAGAAACAATTTCTTTTTCACAAAATATTTAATTTTACCAAGCCTGTATTAAATAATTTATTTTAAAATCCTTAAAATATACCTTGATGACAACAAATGTGTGATCTAAGTTCAGTGTCTCCATTTTTGTGCTTGATAAAAAAATTTCACTTTAGGAAAAATAGGAAATTTGATGTATTTGTTGAGTAGATATACAAGGGGTTCACTGAGTTCCACTTATTTCTAGAGAAGTATAATGTTATTTTGTTTGATTTTAAAAACAGAAATAACATGCATATTAATAAAAGATAAAGAGTTAAAAGTGTTATGTCTTGATCTTGAAAATGTATGTTTATAATTGTGTTCACATATTACCAAAAAAACCCTACCTAATTAACCCAATTAAGATTTCTACCGTAAAAATGTTTTAGATATCTTAGGCAGTTTTGGGGAGCAAACAAGTGTTTAACTTTTAGAAAATGGAAAGAAGCCTAAAATCTCAACTCTGTCTTTTAACTATAAATAAATCACACAGGATATGTGGTTTTATGTAGCACTTTTCATAAACACGTGAAATTATGAAATATTTCATTTTTACTGAAGTCATTTACTGAGATTTTGGCATTTGAACATCCGTTACAATTTTATTTTAAAAATATCAGCTTAAAGGATGGAATGGCTTTTATCTAGCAAAGATGTGTCAGAATAATACAGATATGCTTAAGGTTTGGGTAAAATTTTAAAAATTATGAAGCTCTCTTACTTTTCAATTTCTTATAGATTTAAACAAAAACATTGTCTAATTTTTATATTTAATTTTCGTTCTTATAAATCCATGCCCAATGCTTGCTTGGTCCTAGCTCTGCACGGTGTCAGAATATGAATATTTAGATTCCTTAACAAAGGACTTTTATATGTATAATTATACTATAAAATACATGAGAGACTATTCTCAAATATTGCCACTAATTGTTTAATTTTAGTAACAACTGAATTTTAAGAACCTACATCTGCCTCCTTTAGTTGTTTTCTTTACAGAAGTTTCATTTAATGTAATAATAATTGGACATATAAAATTTGATAGCGTTTGTACATAATGTAAAACTTTAATGAACATAAAATAAACAGAAGTGTAATTTGTGGCTTTTGCTATTGGCTCATGTGGTAGATTATCGTGTTACTGGAGGCCATAGATGAATAGGAAGGAACATTGGAGGAAAACAGTCACAAAATCTTTTCTCATATTTTTTATTCCCTGCAGTACCAGACAGATGAAAAATGGTACTTCACATGTTCCTCTATTTTTGCCTTCTACCTTTTCAAGTCACCGAGGTGCTCCAGTTATAGAACCAGTAGCAATTTTCTTCATGTTGCGAAGTTTATTTGCTGAGTTCATGTAAAGTCTTGTTTTATGTTCTATCTTGTTTTAGAGGCTTTCCACACACACACACACCCCACCTGACATGTCAAATTGTACTTCATTATGACCAGAAGGGTTTTTCAAAATGGAATATGCAGAGGGATCACTTTCGGAACTTGTCCAAATCCAGATTCTCACCCAACAAGCTGGGGTGTGGAGTCTACTGCTGTCCCACAGACCAAATTTTAAGTGGCAGGAGTACAGTGAGGACATTTGACACCAAAGATATAACCAAGGACGGAGAGGGAGTGTCAGGGCCCACTCCTCCCATCTTGCTCGCTCTTTCTCTCTTGCTTGATCTTGCTCTCATTTTCATTCTATTGCTGTTTTTCAAATTGCCTTTCTTCCAAATTTTTCACTCTATCTTTATTACTTTAAATATATATGTATATATGTGTATATATATATATATGTGCATGTACTAAATATTAGATATTGTGTTGGCATAATTGTTAGGTCTTAGATGTCCAGGGATCTGGGTCTTCTAGGGAAAAAAGGTAAGGTCATGGCCCACAGGTGCCTTCACCTTAATCCTGATTGTTCACACCTGGGAAGGAGGTAACACTCTCCCCCATCACCAATCCACCAGTCAGAAGTCAGTCTGACAACTGCAAAAGGTTATAGAAGACTCTAGCCCACAAGCCAAAGCTAGCACAGCTTTAAGGCTTATTATCATGTCATTAACTTAAATCTGCATTTTGGTCTCCACCCCACCGTGGGCTTTCAAAGAGGCTCATGAGAGGTCTGCACTGGTAGTTAGACACTAATTCCAAGATGAACTCTGAACCCTGAGGTGGTCCCAATCCAGGCAGTGTAAAACAGAACTCTGGGCTATAACCAAGACCCTTTTCTTTGTTGTGACAATGGGGGCCTCTTCTCTGGCTACGGTGAAGATATCTTGATTTTGTAAACCTTTACCCTGCTCTTACTCTGTAAACCTGTCTTGTTCTTCCTCAATAAACTTTGTTTCATGCTTGCCTTATTTGGGGGTATCTGGTCATTCTTAGGTCAAAACATACCAGGAACTAAGGTCACAGACATCTGCTGGGAACCTGACGTAATGACCAGCAGAACTGTAGGGCAAACAATAAACCGAGGAATTTACAGAATGCCTTTCCCGTATAATCCACACAGCCATCCATCCAACTTCCTTTGGGTCTGCTGGACACATAAGCACTTATTCCTAAATAACCAGAACAATGGTTACTTTTGGTAAGCAGTGGTGGAGAACTGGCTGAGGGAAGACACATTAAGTAGAGTTTTCTGGGGATGTGGAAATGATCTATAGAAAATAGAGGTGTAGGTTAATGAGGTGTAACTTTTACAATTAACATGCGAACTAAAGTAAACTATTAACCCTCCTCCCTCACTGACTGAACAGACCCCATTTTGGCCAAGAGAGCCCAGAAAAACCTTAAACCAAGAAGACAAAGGGAGATCACACAAGCCTGGAGCCTCGGTGTGCCCCTCCCTTAGAGTTACTCTTTATAACAGCAAGATAACAAGTCACTAACCGGCCCTGAGGGCATGCTAGACAAGGCAGTTAAATCACACCTGCAGGCCATCCATTTACTTAACAGATCGTTAGAGTGTAGGTGCTACCTGGTGGCTTATCTCTAACAAACTTCCTTAAAACATTCTAAGCCTTGGGCAGTGCCTGCTAGTAGGGCACCAGCCCCATATACCAGAGGTGGAGGGTACAAACCCAGTCCAGCCAAAAACTGCAAAAAAAAAAAAAAAAACAAAACAAAACTAAGCCTTTAGACAAAGCTTCATCTCTAACCAATTACAAATCAAAGACTCTTTGAACCTATCTCTAACCTGTAATCCCCTGCTTTGAGATGTTCTACATTGTAGGACCAAACCAATGTATACCTTACCATGTATTACTTTATGATTTTACACATAGTTCCTGCCTCCCTGAATCCATAAAGCCAAACTGCCACCCAGCCACTTACCACACACTTTTTCAGAACCTTCTGAGTCACATGTGACAGGTCACCCCCTGGTCACAAGCATTGACTCCTGGTCACATGCATTAAACCTCTTTGAATTATTTTACAGGGTTTTGTTGTTGTTGTTAACAATTAGTTCATTTCAATGTATGTTAAATTTTCTGTTAAAAATAAGAACTGTAAGATATTATACAATAATTGAGTGGTAAGTGGTAGACACAGGTGTAGATGAAACAAGAATGGCTGAACGTGGTGTCTCCTTCTACTGTTGTGCTTCCTTTGTGTTAGAAACATTTTTCAACTATTACTAGGAGAAAATTTCATAATCATGCCTCTCAGCAAAAATTATTTTCCTAAACATTTCTTGGTGAACTCTCAAAGTGAAAGACTTCATATTCGTTTTATTATTGCTGATCTTAATGAGACTTGGAGAGCAATCTCCTTTCATTTGGAATTTGAAGTCTTTGTCTCCCCAAGGTCTAAGGTGGGGAAAGCCTGTCTAACATAGGTGTGAATTAGACTGCCAGAGACCCCCAAATAAATAAAGTTAAAAGGCTTGATTTAGGTTAGCAGACAACACAGGGTCATCTGGACTTTTAGAGACTCACATCTTTCCATAAAATACCAGATCTCAGG